GCAGACGTTTGAAGGTTATGTTTCTGGGCAGTAATTGAAATGCAAAATAACATTAGGATCGATGGCCATCTCTGTTTATTTATGAAATCAATATCGTAACTGTCCCTCATGAGTCCCCCTCTGATTCCCAATGACGGCTTAAGTCTCTGCTCGTTTATTCTTTCTCCCCCATAACCTCCTTCTTCTGTCTCTTTTTAAAAGGCAGTTAGGGGTGTGTTTGACTTTGCAGGGAGAGCAATTTCCTGGAGGTGGTGGACGTGTATGTAGATGGGGGGTTGATACTCCAGGTAAGGAGACATCATCCATGTGGGAAATCTATGCAATCTCTCCTCGTGGCAGTGACATTGAAAAGGCCATATGCTGGAAGTTCTGTGTACAAGTGAGGGTGTGTGTGTGTGTGTGTGTGTGTGTGTGTGTGTGTGTGTGTGTTAGAGAGACAGAGAAGCAGAAACAACGTATATATATATATATAAATATATAAAAAAAAAAATATATATATATATATATAATGCCATGCAGTATAAACAGAGTACTAGAACTTACCAACTTTCTCAGAAGAGGTAACTTTAAAGTGAAGATTTTGTAAGAAAGTAAAAATGTCATTGTACAGCAGCTTTCAAAATTAAATTGACAAAGAGCGTGGACACAAATCTATGGTAAATATTATTATTTAGTCCTTGAGATTGCCTGGTCTTCTTCAGCTATGGAACTTGATCAGCTAGCTAGGTAGGTGAATGCTGCGTTCACTTACTTTCGCTGGAATAATTGCGTCGCAGAAAATTTCTTCGCAGTTAAAGTACAAAACACAAACTTCAGCTTTAACTCTATTAGAGATGAAACAATTTATCAATTAATCAATAGAGCAGTATTGGCAAAAAGATTGTTCCGGCACCTCAAATCTCCGCAAATTTGAATATTTGGTAGGTTTCTTATTCTTCTGTGATAGAGAATTGAATATATTTGCACTTTGGACTGTTGGTTTGGCAAAACAAGACATATGAAGATGGTCTCTGGGAACTTGTGATGTACGTTTTTCATGTTTAATCAAGACAGTAATTGGCAGATTTATCATTAATGAAAATAGTCTGCAGTTGCAGTCAGAGTCTTGAGAAGTCGAAGAATGTCGATTGGTTGAGTTAAACTATCCACAGTTAAGAGGCAAAGACAGCTAATGCATGTCAGTAAACATGTTAATATACATGTTAGCAGACCTTGGTGAATTTAAAGTTCAGAAATGTAGGAATTGATAGAAACTAGAATTTTATATGTAATATTTAAGTTTATGGCTGAGAGGCTGTAATTTAGGTGTGTTTGCACTTAAAAAAAGCTGTAAGCTTTGAGCAGACAGCCGGAGATGGATTGCAGATTTTAATAAACGTGTTTCTACTGTTAAATTTAGCAAATTATCTTAAAAATATATTTTGACGAATGTCTTTTCCTTTAAAAACCAACCACGTTATTCACAGCAGCGTATGAATCATGCATTTAAATTTCAGAGCGCACACGTTTTTTTGATGACCTTCATTTGTGCCAAACGCTATGTCACACGCATGTTGTTGTTACTACTTAACACTTGGGCGACACACGCTACCCCATTTTCCCGCTCGCATGACCATTCATTTCCCAGACACCTCGGCTGCGGACTAACAGTGTAATCTATGTGTCAGGCAGGAAGGGGCACTCAGTTTAAAGCTGATAGAGTTTGCCCCAAACAAGGACAGCCTATCATAGAAAGATTAATGAACTAATTTCATGCATGGCTCCTTGCCTCTGTCCTTCTGCGCTTCCATGTTCGACTGTGTGTTCAGCACCATGATTTACGCTGTGTTCCTTGCTACAAGCTTAACCCCAAGCTTAACAATAATATTTCCCCTCAGTGGGAAAATACATAGTAAAATATGGAGAACAGGATTTTTAACCCTTAACTCGACAAGCCTAGGATAGCATGAGGTCATTGTGGAGAACTGCTTTGAATATGCGTTTTTTCTTTTTTACTGCTGGTAAAAAATTTATTGTGCAGAATTTTGGAAGCTGGAAAACATATTTCATGGTTTAGGGAAGAGGTGGATGGATTCAGGATTTATGTAGGGAAGCAGGGGATCTGCAACACTGCCAGCATTAGGAGGCATGCCAAAATACACACACACATGCACACACAGACATTTGAGATTTTAAGCTGCTCTGGTGGGACATTTTCACACCCATCACACTTTGGCTCCAAAATAAAAATTTTGAAATAAAAAAAAAACATCAAATGGTCACTGATCTGAGCGTGCACAGCAGGCCAGGCAGCGTCTCAGTCATACTAAACATTACGAACAGTCATGTCTAGACGCTCTCTTTCTTTCAGTGTGGTGGACAGAGTGAAACCTGTGTGTCTGATGCTCCGAGTGTCCATTGTGGGACCGTCTGGGCCTGTAAGAACAGCAGAGCAGAGAAGGCAGGTGACCTTCACGTCTGTCTGATGAGTCTTGCTTGTCTGCTCGGTTTGTACCATTTTTCTGCGCGGCGGAGCAAACACTACCCCATTAGATATTAGGTGCAATGCGTTTGTGCGTGTTTTGAGTGTGTGTGTGTGTGTTGCCAAGGGAAGCGGGGCAGGTTGAGGAGAGTCAGGCTGCGCTTAGAAAACTCTATGTCTCTTTTATAATAAGAGGGGGAAACCAAATTATGAAACTATGAAGCTATTTCTGTCCGTGCGAATTGGTGGCTCGTGCCATTATTTCATTTCGACAGATTTGAAAGGACCCATTAGAAATTTCCATTAAACCTAACAAAAAACATCTCCCCAGCGTTACTGTGTGCTAAGTGTGGAATGAACTACTTTTTACATATGCCACAATGTACTATTCCATAGGGAATCCCCCTATCTGGCTGCGATGATGTATTAACTGTTACCACGCCGCTCTCTCCAATTCCCTCAGATGGGAGAAAATATACCTTCCAATTGACTGTAGGTGCATGCTGATTGCTAACAAGGTTTAACATGAGCCCTGTGAATCTTTTATAAACCGCAATAGCCTCAGAATGTAGACTAACATAATGTTGTATCGCTCCATCTCGCACTATGTTAACAGTCCTGACTGATTAAAAATGCATAAGGAATGTCTGGGACCCGTAAGAGGAGGGTTTATTTTTTCATGCCGCATCTGGAACAGGAAGGAAGCAGAGGATCAATAGATCTGATCTGGGCCCAGGGGTAGAGGCTATCTCCTCCTCCTCCCTCCACCCGCTACCCGTTAGCAGTTAAAAGGGAGGTTTCATGTTGTCAGGGGCCTGATGACTTCATGGCTTTATATAAACACTTATGCAAAGAGGCAGCAGAGGGAAAATACATTCCTAACCACAACACCAAATCTGAAAACAGGGGCAGCCCCTGGCAGCTAAAAAGGCGAGAACTTCAGAGGAATTTGGTCAGCATTAACTTCCTGTTATTTTCAGACATTCTTAACATGGCTTTCCACTGTTCTCACCCAATATTATAAGCATGTAGGGCTGAAGTTGTGTAAGATCAGCGCCGACTCTGACAGACAGAGCCAGCAGTTCTAACACAGACCCAGGCCTCATTTCATGCTTTGTGTGAGAGGATATTATTGAAACAACAGTGCAGCAACATGCAGACACTGTACCGCCCTGAAGAGAAATTATTGGCCAACAATAGTAGTAGTAATAGTAGCAGTAGTTATTATTTATTCTGTCACTAGTGCATACAAGTGCTCGACAAGCAAAGTACATAACTTCTTGCATAAAATCTTACATGGCAAATAAAGAACTTTGTATCCTCTTTAAGCTCTAGCAAATAAAATCTGCATTAAAAAAGTTTTCTTTCTAAAATAAAACACATGGAGCAGTGGAACATAGTCCTCCAGAAACCTTTTGTTTGTTTCACATATGATGGTTCTTGGCAAATAAAAGTCAAGTCAATTTCAGTCAAGTTAGTTTTATTTATCTTTTATTTAGCCCCAAAATCACAGATTTCAAGTGGCTGTATGATCTGTACATCATACCCTCGATCCTAGACCCCTCTATTTGGATAAGGGAAAAACTCTTAAATAGCCCTTTAAAAGAGAAAAAGGCAAGAACCTCAACAGCGGAAGGATCCCTCTTGAAGATATGAGATAAGATGTTTTAAGTAATTTTTCTCACAACTCAGCCTTTTCCTTACTTTTTCTAATGAAATTTGGGAATAGGGAACTTAATCCCAGGTCAGTGGCTCTTTCTCAACCTCTCCAACCTCTCACTGAAGTCCACCGTAACCCGGCACCGTCCTTTGGCAAACTAACCGGGACTATTGATTGGGTCATGTATTACCCATGATCCTCCATATGCTGAGTGTAACACCTCTCTCTCTGTCCATTAACAGCCTTCTGAAGTTTCATTCATTCATTTACTTTTGGCAGCCGACCAATTGTGGGCATTGTTTGCAAGATGTATGGGGCATCTGTTGACATGGTCGTTAGTTACCATTTTGCCTGAGAGAAATAAGCTACTGTAGTATATCACCTGGCATTCCAACACATAAATGGTTGTGTCTGTAACATAATCTATCAAACTCAGATGAAGCGGCACGCTCCATCACAGTTGATGAATCTCCCGCACAATGATCAGGCGATGATGGAAGAAAGCGACACTCAGTACATCTTGACAGACTTTTCAGTGGTGATAATTTCCTTCGTGCAGCCGTTTTTTGATGTGTTTACTTCCATGTAAGGTTCTTTGTGTCTCTAGAAAATCAGCGCTTATTTGTATGTGAGGTAAACAGGTTCCTTTTTAATATCACTGATTTTGTTTGTCCCTCCAGTTTGTTTTAATTTAATCGAAAGATTAAATGATCCACGATGAGTTGGAGTCCTTACAGAATTTAGAAGTTTTGTTTGATTACCAGGTTTTGTCACCATGTATCCCTTTTAAATCCTACAGCGGCTCTAGTTTGCACTAAATTTACTTTGAATTCATTTTCAAAACTGACAGCAGTTCTCACCCTTTGTGTGTTTATCCAGGTTGCTAACCAGAATGCCCTCTGAGGATCGACATTTATCCTCGAGCTGTGGTTCTTACGTCAAAACCGAGCCTTCCAGCCCTTCCTCCTCACTAGTAGACACCGGCAGCCACCACAGTCCCAGCGGCAACTCTGACGCCAGCGGCGGCTACATTAACGGCAGCAGCAGACACTCACACGCCTTGGACTCCCCGCCAATGTTCAACCCTGGCATGCTCGGAGGTGGCGCAGCCTGCCTACGCCGCTACGAGGACTGCTCCGGCGTTGTGGCGGACGACTCGCCAATCAAGTGCGAGTACATGCTTAATGCCATTCCCAAGAGGCTGTGCCTGGTGTGTGGCGACATTGCCTCAGGGTACCACTACGGGGTGGCCTCCTGTGAGGCCTGCAAAGCCTTTTTCAAAAGGACGATACAAGGTATTTTCCACTTCTTCTTACAACTTTTACTGGCTCACCTGAGCTGATCTTCAATGTCTGTACGTTCTCAGTTAAAACTGAGAATAATTATATTTTCTGTGATTTCCCAGGTGGTTGAATATTCTGCAAAGAGAGTGTTTAATACAAAAGTGCTATTTGTTCATGGTGATTCTAAATACTTTTTGTTAGCCTTACCATGCAGTTGTGATTGCCAGGAAAGCATATTGACCAGATGAGGAATCCATTGTCATGTGTTCCACGTGTTCCTCAGTGCTGGTATCCAACCCTCTGCTCTTATGGGACTAATACGAGGTAGTGATTACGAGAGTCTACAGCAGGCATTAGGCCCAGACTGTAAATCTGCTCTGGGTTGTGATTTTTTTTTGCGTTTGCATGTGAATCGTACGTCTGGCATGGACTCTGCCATGTGTGGGAGCTGATCCAGAATAATCACTTGGACAGAAATAATAAGCCGCAAACCGAGATGCAGAATTTTGAATTTTATCTGCAGGTTTTGTCGCTGTAGAGATGTAGTTAGACAGCAGGTTAGTGAGGCCTTGGCCACACCAAGGCATTTAAATTTGAAAACTTTTTTTGTCTGAAACTATCTGGAATCCCTTTTTAATTTTACTGAGAGTTGGTCACTTCATTTGGTCTTCAGGGTAAAGCTCTCTATGTAATCACTTTCGGTCTTAGACTGTAGCCCAACACACTTTACAGATGTTATATCTTCCTGTTTCTGCTGTTAGACACCACAAGTATACAACAGTGACTCAACTGACAGTTGAGTCACCATTTTTTGAAAAGGTTCAGTTGCAAAATAGATAAAAAAAAGATGCATTTTCAAACATATCCATATTAGTGTGGACATGGTTTAAGAGACAACAGCCTACCTGATTACTGGCTGAATTCAGTGTGTTGAAGGGATTCAGTCAACATATTGGATTATTAATTTACGAATTGTACAAAGTGAAAATGTACAAACCAGTAAGACTGTAAAAAACATTTTAGTGAGAAAGACTTAAAAGGACAAATGAAATACAAAGAATAGTTTCAACTTTGGCATTTCACCATCAATCATTTAATTATTGGTCATTTGAAGGTTGTGTCCAGCGATACAGTGAAAGACTGTAAATAGTGTTCATGTGTGACTTTGTGTCGTCTCACACAGATCCCCCCCCCTCTTTTTCTTCTTCCTCTCACTCTCCTTCGTGGAGGACAGGCCCATAATGAACCTAATCTGTCCGTCATTCGTCCTGAGCCGCGGGAGTTTCAGTCAATAACAATCAGTGTTGGGTGACTGTAATTAAGAACCAGGCATTTCATTGGGAGAAAGTCGAGAAAGGAGGGCGGGAGGTGTAGATCTGTTCTTTGCCCCCGGGCCCCTCCATCCCACACCCAAGGGGGAGGAGATGGGGGGGCCAATTAGAAGCTCAGGCACGTGGTATTGGGGGCAATAACAGAGGAAGGGGAGAGAGAGAGAGAGAGAGAGAGATGCCGAGGAGTCCTCCAAATAAAAGGCAGAGGGACAAGGGACAGGGGACGTGGTCATTCACTGAAAGGAGAAGCTGCTTTAATGGAATGGTAATCAGGAAGGGGGGTCCCGGCCTCGGTAAAGGAGGAGGACAAGGAGAGGTCCAGCTTGAGTGGAGATGAGCGCGTGGATAATAGCATGGCATAACAATATATCAAAATTTAGAGGGAAAATAAGAGAGGTTAAGGAAGGATATTAGAGTGGTTGAAATGTCCTTTGAGAAATAAAGGTGGACACAAGACCTGATTAACTAAGAGGGTATGCCGACAGTGAGCTTTTAGAGGTAGGCAATTTAAGACTATTGTGGACCCCTAATGCAACCCCCCCCCACCCCCCTACCCTTCACATACACACATAATCAGGAACACACAGGTTATTTTTGATCCATTCAGGTATAAAATGTTTCCTTTAATAATCGTAAAAATATTAAAGGAATATGACCTTTTCTGAACGGATGAAAATCCTCCGCTCTATCGTTCTTTGAATTATTTGCACAATTTACGTTTTAATGAATAAAAAATATGATGAAAAATATATGTATATATATATATTTATAATATGCCATGCATACTAAAAAACAATTCACTCAGACACTGAGTAGTTTACTATATAGTGAGCAGTAAATTGAGATTTCAGGTATTTTGCATCAGCACTGCACAACAGTAAATGCATAGAAAGAAACTAATGTACATCTCATGGACACTGTTTCTGTTCTGTAGTGGAAAATTTTGGACACTAACAAGGTGGATGTTATAGATAAAGTGCACTTTTTGGTAAATCTGGAGTGGTTTAGGACACAGCCTTAATGTTGATGTACATTACTTCCCCACAGTGTGCTCACAGCTGCAAATTGCAAACAGCAGATGTTGATGAGACAGCTCGAGGAAGTTAATAAAAACCAGAAAATGAAGCAAGAAAAACGTCTTTGTGAAGTTAATTGGCTTTTGGTATTGCAAAGGTAGAGAGTGATTGATGTCCGTCAGAACGTATACTGCTAATTCCACTCTACTTAGTAACTGCATAATGTATCTACAATATTCATATTCATAGGTATGTTTTCATTAGTGTATAATCACCTGAACATAAGAATCGTAATGTTTTTGTTACCTTAGAATAAGACATTTTTTATCTACAGACACCGCAGTTTGCCTTCCATGGAGTCCGCCATGTTTATCCACCATGTTTCTACAGTGCCCTAGAAGGGACAAAACAAACACTGGGTGTAGAGTTCACGTTTTTCGAGCGTTTCATGGCCACAGTAGTGTCTCCTTCGCTCTTGGAAGGGGAGGGTGAAGCTACGGAGCTGCGATCTCCTACTAGATGCCATTAAATCCTACATACTGGACCTTTAATATGCATACTTTTTATGTGTACGGCATTTACATTTGGTGACTTTTTCATAAAATACATATTTAAAACCTGTTTAGAATCAGTATGTAGTATATATGTAAATTAAAAAATTGGGAACCAAGTCATTGAATTGTTGTATTTTAATTGCACAAACCATATAATATGACAATTAGTATAAAGTACATGTTGTATTCAATTAGTTGTAAGATAGAATCGGTACACAGTGTGTGCCTCTGCACACAAGCCCTGCACTGTACTGTATTTCCCTCTCCTAACGCCTCAGTTAAAGACTTTACCCACCCTGAAACCAGCTGCAGCCTCTGCCAACATCCTGGCATGGTGCCCTGGGCCCCTCACTGTGCATGTGACCCTGCTGGCACCATCGATGCCAGGGATCCTGACAAATGTTGGCACCTTCTCCTTGACCAACAGGGGATTGTATGTGTGTGTTGGGGGTGGGGGGCAGCTCTGGCAGATCTGCAACAGACAACACCTGGTTTGCTGTTTTTAGGTACCATTAATACATCTCTGGACTTACGGGACATTGTTTAAACATTCAATCAAGGGATTCGGATACTTGGGAAAGAGGATTTGTCATTGGATTCTTGGGGTCACATCAACTTTTGAAGTGACCGCTTAATGATTCTGAAAAACCCTGTTCTCACTGAAACCTGGTGAGAAAAACAGGCAGCAGTTTCATGGCAGCAGATTCAATATGTCTGCGTTTCTGGCTTTTTTTGGATCCGAGTGATTAAATTGCATAGGAAATATTTCCATAGTGAGCCAACAACCGTAGACACGGACTTGAATAATACATCGAGCTTTGTTACATGATAAGGGCGCCTTAGATTGGCGAGTCTAACTGTAGCTCTTGGTCTTTACTGGAGGAACATTATGCAGAGCGCTCGTCTGTGCGTCCATCTCTCAGCCCTTGTGTTGTTGAGGGAGGGCAGCTTTCCCATCATCCTTTAGGTGAAGAAGGATGGGCTGGATGGGGTCGTGGTGAGCGTTGCAGAGAGGACGCTCTGCATTAATGAAGCTAATTTATCTGTGAATCAGAATGGGGGTGGGACTTCGGGGGCGGGGAGGTGCTTTTTACATGTCCCATCAAAATGCCACTAAACCCTCCTCTCCTTCAGGAGTGTCACACGGGGTCACCTTGGGACAGGTGTGTATGTCTGCGTGTGTGGGTGTCTTTTACTGTCTTTCTGTGCCTGTTGTTTACCATTTATCATCTAGTCTCCTTTCCCACGCAATAATTCTAAAACTAACTCCTCCTAATTGCCGATATGCAGCTTTTGTGCTCACAGAATTAATGACAACATGTTTTTTTTTAATCTTCTTCAGGGAATATTGAGTACAGCTGTCCGGCCACCAATGAATGTGAGATCACCAAAAGGAGACGCAAGTCGTGTCAGGCCTGCCGCTTCATGAAATGTCTTAAAGTTGGCATGTTGAAAGAAGGTGAGTACTGGTTTTTATCATTTTGCTTATGTTTCTTTTTTTGTTACTTATTTCATCTTCAGATATCATTTAAGAGATTTATTGGTGGAACAGTCAGTCTGCAACTACTTTGACAACCATTTAGATCAAATTTTGAACAATAATAAATACATGAATCGATAATTGAAATAATTGTTAGCGGCAGCCCTGGTGAGGTTTTAAAAAGGCCTTATTGGTCTCAACAATTCAAGAAATAATGCTAAAAGTATAAAAAAAAAACTCCACAAATCTTACTTTCATTATTCTGGTTTCTGTGTTATAATTTAAAGAATTAAACTGTCCTATACGGTAACAAAAAGTCTTATGCTCAGCCAAAATATGAAACTTTTAAAAAAACATTAAGATGCTGTGTAGGTTCTAACCTTAAAGCTAACAAATAAACGTGTAATATTTTGGGTCCTCTATCTTGATCTTAGGAGAAAATATTAAAATTTTGAACATAGACGTCAAACAGTCTTACTGGGAGTAAGACTGGTCAGTGATCAGATATTAAAGCTGGCTATGGCCTCTGGGAGACACCATGACATCACCCACAAGCCTTACTTACCTCTCCACACACTGAGCCGCTCAGCGTTTAACTCAGATGGGTAGGAAAAGCTGCTGAGTTGGATGTTCCTACCAAGACTGACTGAGAAGTGTAACAGTACTCTTGAAAAGCACAGGCTGTTCCCCTAAGACTTCCCTCTCCCCTGGGCTCTGGGTGTCTCTCTCCGTTACCCTCTCTCTCTCTCTCCCTCTCTGTCTGTCTGTCTCCCTTCCCCTCCCTTTGCCTGGCATATTGATCCACTAAATGCTTTCCGAACATCCCACCTCACTTCCTGCATGTGTTGTTTCTCCTCCACTGAGAGACCTTTGGGAGTACAGAGGGAAAATCTAGCCGATAGATTTTTCTTTTTCTTTTTTTCTTTCCAGGGAAAGAGGGTTTTTTTTGGGGGTTTGTTATTTTGCATTTGTGTGTTTAGCTAGAGGAACTATTGCACACTGATGCATAGAGTCCAGCTCTAAGTTATGCTTTTGTAGAGAGTATTATAATACCTACTGCTGAATTGGGACTTCACTGCACATTAGGCAATTTCTCTCTGACACCAAATATATCAAATGTGTTCCAGAGCGTATTTTCAATGTTTTCTTTGTAACACCACAGACAGAATTGCACTGATGTGTGGTGTATGCAAAGATAAAAAAAACTTTGATTGAAACAGTCGGTGAAATTAATTATATTAAAATCAAAGATGGCAGTAAGTAGCACATTGCATACCTTTCCATTCACAGTGTTGGACTGGTGCATTGTAACATTACTATTACAAGACAACATTAATATTTAGACAAGTAGTTTTTTTTCATAAATTATTATTAAACACCGGTGGTGAGTGCAAGGAAGCAGAGTATTATGTGTCACTTATTTATTGAATTCCATGTAATGTATTTCCCTGGCGCAGAGGGGTTTTCAAACAGTGAGGCACGAAGGGAGATACAGTATGTGAGGCAAAGATAGTGCATGAGGTGAAAGGGACAGGCGAATGCAGGCGTTCTGAAAACAACAAGAAATTAGTTATTATAGTTTGGATGTTTATTCGGCCCTCTTGTCAGCAGTTGGCGGTGCGGCAGTGGCTGTGTCACACATGGAGGCAGTTAAGGTGCAACCCTCACTCACTCAAATTTGAACACGCAGACATGATGAACACATTTTTAGATTTAGTGTCACTTAAACTTTCCGAGGATATCAACATCTCAGATGAACATACACAAATCAACTTAGAAATCATAGAAAAAAAGCTTCCTATAACTCCAGACCTTGCTTGAGAATCGTAAAATTTCTATGTTTTCTTCAGTGTCAAAGTAATGTAGTGGTAGTTGTCTGCAAATCTATGGGTACATTGCAGACGTAAGCTGCTAATTGCTAATTCGGCATACTTAAATGTTGCCAAAATTAGCAAATATAGGCAACAAATCAGAGGTTCAAAGTCTGTGCTTTAGTTCCACAATACCACACTTAGTTTAGAGTTTTGTTGACAGTAGTGTCTGTGTGTTAATAATACTATTTGAGCTCCGGTGGCATTAATAAAATTAGGACCAGCATAAGACTCCACAAGTATAACATTGTATCTCACTTTGGAGACAAATTACAGCAGGTTAAGATCTGGAGTTCAGCCCACTGCCATCCATACTGATTGTATGATATATATCTTAACATAAAAAGGAGCATTTAAAGAATTTGTTTACAGCCTCTACTTAGAGACACAACAGTCATAAATTTCCTAAAATAAAACCATGGTCATACAGTTTTGTTGTGTTCTGCCAGCACCAAACACATCTCATAATAGAAGCCAGCAGCAGTTAACTGCAATCTGTGCTGGTAACACAAGATTGTATGTCAGGCTCTTGGTTCACTTCCACTAATACAGCTTCACTATGTACTGATGTAGCTGTGTTTGTTCATCTCAGACTCAAGGGTCACCCATTGTATTGCCATTACAACACTATTTATACATGCGCCCACTCTTGATGTCTTCATCCCGGCCCAAATATCTCACACCGAGGCTTTGACTCTCAGCCAGAAAAAACAACGTTGCTTCAGAAATAAAGCTGAAACTATTAGCGCATGCTTAGAGGAAAAACGGCGGGGTATTGTCTGCGGCAGGCCGAGCTAAGCCGTTGATGTGGACAGTCGTTGTGTGTGTGTGAGTGAGAGAGGGGGAATTTGACGGCGTAGCCTCCACCGCCTGCCACTCATGAGACGCAGCATCACAGCCACCGCGACATGTGGCACAGTAGGTGATTCTCTGAAAGTAATGGCATTCAATTAAAAGGAAAAAGGACATTTAATCGTGGCATAGTGCCGTGGCCTCTTACAGACTTGGGGGGGCTTTGATCATGGAATCAGTGGGGGGACAGTGGCTTGCCCTACTTCATGTAATGAGATCACCAATAACACATGGCCAAGGGCTGGTCATGGAAAAGGAATAATCACATACGAATGCAGGTGTCATTTCTTCTATTCTACAGCTATTGGCGTACAAATATTAACATTTTATAGTTATTTCCTCATGAATTCTTTTTATCATTGCTCACATTACAAACAACACCCCAAAGTTACAGTGCGGTAGTATCATAAGAAATGCCTTGCACTGCAGAAGATGTTGAGAGAACTTATGTGATTAGTTGTTCTAAAAGTGTCTTAATATTTCCACCAGGACCCTCTAAGCTCCGCTCTAAGCATGCCATCCTGAATTATAAAGTGCCAGCTGCTACAGTTATAGCACCATTGGTGGGCAGGGGAAACCCCTCCTCCCTGTAACACCTGCCGCTAATCAGCTGACTTCAGCTCTAACGCCCGGTTTGGTGGCTTCAGGTGTGTTTGGATTCCAGCGTGGGTCCAAATAACTCAACTGTTCCGAAGAAGCAGCTCAGTACAGCAAAAACATTATGGAATTTATGAGCGTAAATTCCATCCCTCCTATTCCTAACAGCATACAGTTTTTGTGACAAGAGATTCATTTTATATCTTGTATATGAGAGGAAAATCAAAGAGACTCATTGTAGATGACAGGCTTCTTTCCAGATCCGGCTTTACTGCTGTGCCACAGCAGAGCGCCTGGATGAGCTGCGTGGAAGGTAGCGGGGGCAGGCGTCTGTTTGAGGAAACCAGCCCCGCTCGCTCAGTGACCCCTTAAATGTCCAGCTGAGGCTGATAAAAGGTCACAGGTCCAATGGAAAAACTCTCACGTAATTACAACTCGCGGAAGGTATGGTGTCAGTCCCTTCTGCCAGGAGTCAGTGCCCGCAGCTAATAGCAGTGCTAATATCCCCATAGCATTACCGTATGGTGTTAAATGATGCAAGAATTTTCTGGACTGAATGGGCATTTTTTGACTTTGTTATTTGAGTCACTCTTGTTATTTTCTGCTCAACATGGATCACATTTATTCTGAGCTTTTTATAGTTTTATTGCTGCAAGAATATCTGCGTAGGTCTTTAAACACGTAATCACATCCTCATGTTAGCAAATTAGCATGTTTAAAAAATATGGCCTGTTGAAACCGAGGCGTACAACCTCTGTTGGCCTACTGAATTTCTGTCATTTTTAACAATTTCAATAAAAAATACAGAAGCCTTTTTTTCAGCCTCTTCTGAAGCCAGTGCTCGCTGGCTTTAGTGTTAGCTCAGTGTTTCTGTGGTGTATTCTTTGCTTGTGGGGATTTTCTAACACGGCTGTAATGTGGTGGATGAATACAAGCTGCCAGACTATTTTGGCAACCTACACCGCTGTCTCGCCCTCGCCTGACCACAGATAGGGATCAGCAGTCTTTCCTGAGCGAACGTGGCTACCGGGGTAACGTTACAGCCTTATTTTCCTCCAGCCACATACACAAAAGATTAGTAAAGCCATATCCAATATCACAGACTGTCAGGTCCCTTTCCAATCAATAAGCTTAGATCAGAAACCAATCTATACGCTAAGATTACATCATCAAAATAAAGATATTGCAAAAGTCTATACTGTATGGGTGCCTTTAAAGTCTTAGCCGATACATTTGAACAGCGAATGTCTACAAAGCCAGATTCAGTTTTTCCCGTATTGCTGTACATGTGTGCGTTCAAGGGAGTTAAACTGTAAAGACAGTCTGCCCTCTGACCCCTTGCCTCTTGATTTTTACTTGTAGCGCAAACTTGTCTATCTAACGGCACATGTATGGGGCCTTGTTTGCTTTTTATGGTGTCAGATATATCTGGCAGACTGCAGCTGAGAGTCAGTGCCCACCCAGAGGCTCTGCACTGGCCTGTCCTCACTGTCTGGCAGGTGATAGATCAGACACGGAGGCTAACACGTGTTCCTCTGAAGAAGGGGATTTAGCGAAGTGCTGACCTCTTTACAACCCTCTGATACACACACTCGACTCACAACACACACATTCATGTACACACATGCCAAATGTATATCACCCCTGGCAAGTGACATGGAATCGGACCTTGAGGTACATCCTTGCTGTCACCCTTCGGCCTCTGTCTTTGTCTCTTTCGCCCACTTTCAACACACAACCGTGTGAACACTACAAAACCGAACGCCTGCTGCGCCAATACACTGGGGATCCTGAATCGACCCGGGCGTCTCCAGCCGTGCAGATGTTTTCGATTACAGGCGCATTTGTGGTCAGTGTGGCTCAGTAATTCACAGTAATACCCCTTGTGGACACGCCGGCTCAGATTTATGAAAAGTGTAAAACATGATAAAGAGAGCAATGCCATTGTGTGTGGTTATGGGAGAACAACTCCAGTTTTGTCTTGTCAGCCCATCAGAGGTCAGAGCAGGTGGGACACCATCCTGATACACCCTGCCCCCCTCTTCCCCATGTCCTGTACCAATTTTCCTCTACTCTCCCTCTCTCTCTGCAGCCTACCCAGACTCTGTGCAATCAAACAAAAGCTGTCCAGTGCCTTTAGCTCTGTGCAGGCTTGTAGATTCGGCCCTTAGAAGCAGCTCTGGAAGGGCAAGGTCCCTGTGTCTTGTAAAGGGTGAGCGACTGTGTAGGAGGGGGCGCACACTGCATCCCTCTGATTTTTCCCAGCTAAAATAGGGAGCTCCTAATCTCCCTTTGGCAGCGTTAGCCAGCCAGCCAATTCTGACACATTCTCTAGAAAGAAGCGCCTCTGACAGGTGAGGGGACGAAAATAGTTCTGTGAGACACACACACACACACACGCACATGTTCATATAGTGACACACATGCTTGATACACTGTAGGGGCCAGATGCACATTTGTTTGATGAAATCTGTTCTCGATAGAGCTTCTTCTGTGTCTCACACAAATTGAGTGATTCTATTTGTTTGGGATTTTTCAAAAATATTTTTTATTCTTTATTTTATTCTGGGAGGATTTTTTATTGCTTATTTCTATTGTTCATGTTTGATTTGTTCTGCTGTGTAATTTATACAATGTTTAGGCATGTAGCCATTAAGGATACTGAACTCGTGTTGTCCGTAGTTTGTCTGTGAATTTGAGGGTTTTAACAGCAGTGGGGTGTTATATGGTATAATTTAAACCACACATGGTGGGTATTTTATTAGGTATTTCTAGTATCTTGAGATTCAATATTTGTAATTTGTTACTCCTTCTAGGCCAAATAAAAGATAAATAAAATATTAATTATTTCCCCACCAGATTTTGTTCTTGGCAGCACAGAAAAGGCATATTTAGACCATGATGGTCTAAATCCAAGTAATCCACGTAATTACAACATTGGTGTCATATTCCCATGAACTATATGAATTTTAAATTGTTGTTGTTGTTTTTTTTATGTGGACATATCCAAATAAAGAAAGAAATAATAAACACAAAAAAAATAAATCCACATGGCATACACACAGCTCCCACCACATAAAGGAAACCAAAGCTGCTTCAATCAGGAATGTGCTTTAAGGTTGCACAAGTCAATAAAGATATTGAATGTGAAAGGGAAGCTGGGGTCAGGTGGCCATAAAGATTGCTCCTATGCAAACATGCCTCATCGTCTTTCCACACACATGTACACACACACACACACACACACACACACACACACACACACACACATAGTAAGGATGGACTGCCAGCCAGTATCTTTGTGTCTCAGGCCGCCTCTCTCACAGTCTGCACTAAGTTATGAGCGTACTGTACTGTACTGTATGATCTTACCGAGCTCATAACATTCAGCACACGCATTTCTACCACCTCCCATTCCCCCACGCTCTCTTACCCCATAACCTCACCCCCTGCATCCATATTTTGGCTGCCACACTTTATGAAGGGCCAGCAACAGTAAAAGAAAAAAATGGATCTGGATGCTGTGCACCCGCATCTCTGTCACCGGGTCTCTCACTACCAAGGCACAAGCTGAACCCGATTGTCTTGTAGCATGGAGGCTGCAGTGGTTTTGGGCCTGAGGTGTGGAATGTGGTGCTGACAATGACACAACCCCCCACCCCCCCCACCCTACCGCCCTCCCTCCACAGCCCTCTACAAGGGGCCTCATCCAGCTGTCTTGTTGTGGTCAGATTCTCAGTACTGTGCCGTATCACATGGGGAGGAGATAATCCCGCACTGGTCGGATCAGGCGCTGGCTGGGACAGGCAGGGCTGTCAGGAAGGTTGATGTACACCCGATGCTGAAAGGGAGAGAAAAAGAGACAGACAGAAGGAAAAGTGAGAGAAAGGAAAACAGAGACCTTGCAGAAAACTGATACATTCAGCCAAGAAACAGCAGCTCGTTGTCTCTTATTCCCCAACCGTCCCGTTCTTTATCAAACCCTTTTCTTTCCCTTTCTGTCATTCTCTCTGCCCTCCTGCTTTGGGTCTCTGCCGTTTGCTGCGCCGCTAAGCTGTAAACTGAAACTGGTTAGCACTGAGCTCTTAATTCTTGTCAGCATCTATTAATTATGGGCCAGTTGGATGTTCCAGTTCAAACAGCCCCCGCAGATCTTGGAATTCTAACTCCGGCTGTTTGGTCACTTGTCGCTTGTTGCAGCCACATGACCCTGCAGCCCGCAGCAGGGAAAACTCTGTGTGTGTGTGTGTGTGTGTGTGTGTGTGTGTGTGTGTGTGTGTGTGGATGGTGGTACATGTCAGGGACAAAACCAGCAACAATTTGCTGTCACTTAAGTCTACAGTAGAGTGAATTTAGGGAATACACCCACTTAATATGTTTTTGCATTACATACGCTAACTGCATATCCCTTTATTAGGCCTATGTGTGTCATTAGATAGAGAGAAGCTATTGAATTGATTTAATATCTAGAGTACATGGACACAGTTTCCTGAAGCACTATTTATAATTTTAAATTTACCTTAACCAAGAGTAATGGTATGAACAACAACTAAAGCTCCATCTATCGCAAACCCAGTTCCTAGCTGCCTAACTGACTAATTAAAACCGCATCCACATGTGTTCAAAGAACAAGAAGTCTATTTGCAAGCCTTATTGATTACTTTAAGGCGTACAAATGGAAAGCTGTGTTAGGAGAGGGGCTCTCGATTTAGCTTCAATCTGCCAGGCATAAAATGATCTCACTGTGTTTGCTGGGAAGAATGAGCTCCCTCTGGGCACGGTGGGTAATTAGGTTAGTGGATAGTCGGTGTCAGGAAATTGAAAGACCATCCTAATCGGATTCTTTTGTTTCCAGGGGAATCAAAGGAATTTATATGAGTCACTGGGAAATCTCACACGACTCAATTCCACTTGACCATGTAAAATCTGTTTGCTCTCCCTCAATGCTCAAACAACTTTTAATACAAGAGTGTAAATCCAGCACATAAGGTGCGTCAGATGTGTCCTCTGAGATGGCTTTCAAGATAATCCCAGATATGTCCGTTTGTATACTAACTAGATACTTACACTCTTCCATCTGTAACAAGCAGGTATTGAACTGTCCCTCTTCCAGTTAAAAGGTCAAAAAGAAAGGAAAGAAACTCAGCAGTCTCAATTATCATCTCATTTGCATGCACTATTACAAATACAGGAATAAATTACTACATTATTTGAAAGTCTTCTTCGATGTGCTTGGTATATTAGTTAGGAATATACTATGACACGAAAAAACATGTTTGTGCAAAGCTATATATGACACTGAAGAAATAGTCCTCCGTTTTGGCGGTATAAGATATGTTATAATGAATTTTAAATGAATATAAACATTGGAATGCTTGAGAGAGATCTATGACTCAGCATAATATATGATAAGAGGACATTATTATTAGAAGTAGTTGTAGCTATAATAGTGGATTTAACGGCATAAAACTGGCCCTGTGGCATTTTAACTAAATCTAAATATGTCAGATTCAGATGATAAAGGTAAAAATGAACCTGCAGTTTTAGGGTAGCTCTTTGCTCAGATTAGTATCCTGCTAAATAACCTTCAAAGGACCTTTGGATGTGCTGCCATTTATACCTGTTTGATATTTTTTTGCAGGTGTGCGTCTGGACCGGGTGAGAGGGGGAAGACAGAAGTATAAACGGAGGTTGGATGCAGAGAACAGCGCCTACCTCGGTCTCACCATCCCCCCTCCAGCCAAAAAGCCATGTGAGTCACACAGTTTGGTTACTCTCGTGTGGTTCCCTTAGTTGTTTGATGTCAGCGCAGCAATATCGCAACTTGGGGCAATTATAGAAATCTTGGGATTTGGAATACTGCCCCTAGAAACGTATTAATTTTTAAAATATGACATTGAGGAATTTGTGCACAGCGGCATCTTGATAATGCGTAGATGGATTTTCATTGGCGTTAGAGAAAAAATCTACGAATTTTATCTGCCTCTTATTGACTTATCCCTGATATTCTTACCCTAACCATTCTCAGTCCTAACGCCTAAACCAACCCAACCAACAAAGGCAACTAGTACTAGCCAATCAGGGTTAGTTATGCTATAGCCAGATTAATCTCAAGGCTAACCTGCCACCTTTTCAGATTTTGCACCATATAATTTGACATTATAGAAAAAAACACTTTTCAAATGTGTAATTATTCATTTATTTGTTTTAATTGTTGTGTCAAGGTTTTAAATCTGTATATACTGATTGTCTCACACATTTCTCTCTCCATCTCTCCTCTCTCTCTCTCTCTCTCTCTCTCTCTCTCTCTCTCTCTCTCTCTCTCTCTCTGCACCCGTCCTTCCCTCCTTCCAGTGACAAAGATCGTTTCCCATCTGTTGGTGGTGGAGCCAGAGAAGATCTATGCCATGCCTGACCCCACCATGCCCGACGGAGACATCAAGGCCCTGACCACGCTGTGCGACTTGGCCGACCGCGAACTGGTGGTCATCATCGGCTGGGCAAAACATATCCCAGGTAGAGAGATGTGACTGCTAATGAGTGACTGTGCTGTCTGGGATACGGGTTTCTGAACATATTCATTTCTTAATTTGACATTGCAACTATTTCAAGCACTTAATAAATCTGTAAAGCCAAATGTTCCAAACCAATAGATAAAAACAAAATACAAAAATGATAAAATAGCTAACAAATAACTGTATGAAATGAGACATTTATCTCAGGATTATCTCACCAGTTGTTTTGGTTCATAAAATAAAAAAACCCCACTGTTTTATTGTAGTAATTTGTGAGTTTTAATAACTGGATTCATGAAAGATAAAGAAATTCATAGGTCTTGTGCGGTTGGTAAAGCAGATAAGTAATGCCACATTTGTACTTTAATTTGCTGAACCAAATACAGTATGCGATTACTGAAGTAGTTCACCGATTGTTGCATACATATAATCACCATACACACACACACGCAGTTACACACATGCATGCACACACACAGGATAATTAACATCTGCTACTCATCTGCACCTAAGGGAGAAGCCAGTCCCATATTCTAAAATCTAATCAATAAAGAGCAGCTGAAACCTTTGATTTGACTGGGTAGGGTGGGAGAGTCTGGGGGAGGGAGCTGGGATCCGCCCCTATGTCAATGTATTCCATTTCAATCCCAGACTTAAAGAAAGCAATCCTCTTACTTACTTAAGGGGACTACACAGAGCCTATTGTAAAATTGATTTATTTAGGGAAATACTGATGGATTTCCCCGGCCCTTGTTGACGAATTCTTAAATAAGACTTGTTATGCAAATGTTCAAAGATCTTTTCTTTTCGTCTCTATCAGTTGAAACAGACATTTTGGACCCTGGTACGTTTTTAAAGGGAGCGTCAACATCTCATTGATCCAATCAAGTATTATAATATAATAATGTAGAACTGCAACAAACAATTTTCATTCCCAATTAACTGCCAATTATTTTCTAAATCAATCAATTAAAGGCACATCACAACTTCTCAGAGCACGATCAAACAGCTTTACAATGCCTTGTTTTATCTCACCAACAGTGCAAACCCCAAAGCTATTTAAGTTACAGTGATGTAAAACTAAGAGAAAGTAAATCCTTACATCTGGAACCAAACAGTGTTTCATGTTTTTGCTTGAAAAACAGACACAATTAATCAATTATAAAAACAATATAATCAACTATCATACAGTAAATTAATTTCTCCTTTACAACTAGACAACTAAACAGATCAACTGGATGCACATCACTAACCAGCTGCTTAGCTCTCCGCTCTGTCCAGGGTTCGCCCTAATCACTGATTCGTCATCAGAGTTACATTTGACACCTTAATTAATGCACTTTGGGGGTGGTTGAAGGTGTGCTGATCCCAAACCTGCCCCGGGATCCACAGGAGAGCTGTGTGGTCTGATTAGGAGATTTTAGCTTTTGAGGGACACTGGGTACGAGGCAAAGGCTGCTGCAGTGGGAAGATGCTTCAAGAGGGACAAAAGGAAAATCACTGACCTGATGTTTTTCTGACAGTAAAAACAAAGGGTCTTTTACAAAAATTCTTCAATTGAGTCAAAGCTGCAGGGGTGCAGAAAGAAGGTTTACATACTGTCATATCTTTGGACCTCAATCTCTGTTACATTTTCTATGTATAACTATTGATCTTGTACGCTACGAAGATCTAAATCCAGACCTGACAGAGTTATTAAAGGGGCATGTGACACTCTGGGGACATTTTATCCGGGGCCACCAGGTCAGGGTGTCACCAAGTAACGATTAAGACAAAAGGGGTCCCTACAGTTTAACAGTCCACTCCCACCATTACACTCATAGCCCACTGAGCAAATGGCCTTAACGATGAGGTAATAAGAGTCATTACTGCAGATCGCTCCATTAATGTAAAAGTCCTTCAACATCCAGATGTGGAGAGCTGGAAAGAAACATGCAACGTTGAATAGGTTTTCTGTTAGATGTTAGTGGTTATAGTAGAGCTGCTTATAATCATACTTGCTATGTACTGTAATGTGCACAAGTTTAGTTTTTTAAATATGAAAGAAAATATTTGCACCGAATATAAATTAGAAGCTTTGATAAAAAGAAAACAAAACTGTTTGGAGATGTGTTTTTCCTAGTTAAATATGTTGGAGAGAATGGCTGTGACTCATCACTAGGCAGGCATTGATTGGATGTTACACACACTGTCGTGAAAAGTAGAAACAGAATCGTAGCCCTGTTGTGGGGGGGGGGTCAAGTGTGGCCACTAATTTGTGCAGCTGTTAACACACACACACCATCTCAGACATGTAAGTGCACATGTGTAGATTTATATGCACGGCAACATCGCGAGGCATTCAGCACCTTCTGGTATTTAATGTTCACTCAGTTCTGCGCTTTCTTTCTCTTTCCTCTCTTTTTCTCTGACACACACACACACACTTTCTACCATCATATCTTTCACACACACTCTCTGACTTCCTTGTTCTCTTGCTCCCCTGGCTCTACCCCCCTCCTGCTCCTCCTGCTCATATAGGGCCCTCTAGTCTCATTATTACCTCTGTCTTTTTATTAGGCCCATTAGGGCTCTTAGGAGGCCTGTAATGATACTAAATGAATAGAGAGTGAACTGCTGTCTGTTTTAGACCTAGCTCTCAATGACAGCTTCAAGCTTCACTGCCAACCACTCAGTCTCTTCATTGTACTGAATAGGGATTCAATTACTTATCTGATCTGTACCTGTACTGTACTGTTGCATAGCTAGAGCACTCTCCTTTTCTGCAAACAATCACTAACATCCCACGGTATGTTGAGGATTATCTTATAGAAATAGACACGTGGTGTAATGTAGTTCAGTATGGCCTGTAACATCAAGGGATGTAGATTTACAACTTTCACATTCACCGTCCCTTAATCCTGTGTTACAAAGACATAATGGACACTAGGTTTGTCCATGTGGTTTGGTTTCAGCAGCAAAAACCCTTAATGTTAATGTAGGAAATATGTATTATATATATTATTTACATTTATTTTATAAAGATAACCTATATGAACTGTAGCTATAACTATGTAAAATATATTTTTTGTAACACAAACTAGTTCAAAATGACAAATTTAGAAAGAAAGAAACCTGTCCCTGGCTTTGCTGAAGATTGATTGAATGGCAGAGTGCTTTATCTGCATTTTTAAGGTATCCTGTAGAGTCTATGACAGTGATTTCTTTATAATCAGTATAACAGTATAAATTAAGGCATTACAACCTTTCTGTCTCTTACACAGTTTGCCTGCCAGCCTATAAACTCAATATCCTTAATTTCTTCTTTACTGCTCTCTGCCTTTGCAGGGCGGAAGAGTAGATAATAATTTATCATAGGTTTCTCATAGTGCAGTGGAAAACCTGTGTTAACACTTGTCTCTGCTCGTGCTTCTCGTCATCACAAGGGGAGAAAACTGCAGAGACGGAGACACAGGCATTCCCCAGTTTGCTCAATATTGTGTCATGTTTGGTCAAACGGCAGTAAATCAGTAGGGTGAAATATTGATATTTCATCAGGGCCAATCACCCTCCACAGTGACACTTAACTCAGCCACCTCCGGGCGACGCACCTGAAGCTCGGAGGCGACCCCCGGGGAGCGAGGAAGTCACTCCATCGCTTCAGTAAATTGAGTGGAAAGAAGAAAAAAAGGCTGCGGGAAAAGAAAAGAATGATGAAGGGGAAGAAAAATAGAGGTTCTTTTACACAGTTGGTAAAGAAAGGGAGTATGGCAGAAAAAAAAACATGAATAAGAAAATAAATAGTGCTCCTGAGAGGTTTGATCGTAATAAATAAGCATTACTTTTTGTCTTAATCTTTTTTTTTCTAACTCACGTTGTTAGTTAAGTATAGCCATTGAACCTCCCTCGCAAAAGTGTCCTTTTGAGATAGAGAGAGTTCCTAATGCAGCCTACAGTATCTACGTGATCCCGTAGTCCCTCCATCCCCCCACTAAACGTGTACCGGATGTCCTCCATCAGCTGTCTGTTTGTCAGATCTGAGGCTTGGATCGATCCCCCTTTCGCATTTGGTGGACTGATTACAATCTACTAATCAATGACACCCCCAGCACTCTTTTCTCTCTCCCTCATTCTCTCTCTCCTCGTCGTTTCTCTATTTGCTTGATAAGAACCATCGGGAGGACCTCTTTTAAGTCAACCTGCCCCATTCCCCCATCCATACAACCTCAGATTTAAGTAAGCAGAGTGGTGGGTTCAAGGCCCTGGTCAATACCCCCCATCACCTTCCTATTCACTATAGAGTGGTGAAAGGTATTGTGGCGGCTGAGGTCCTTTCAGATGTCTGTCTGTTTGATGTGGTGTGTGTGAATGTTAGAGAAGAACGTTGATGGGTCGACCTCCAGATCTTGGATGAATTGTTAACCCGAGCTCAGAAGGTTGAACACGAGAGACAAAGGAGACCAAGAAGGAGTTTATCAGGTGGAATATATTTTTGCTGTTTTTTAATTGTATGCCATTCATTTAGAGAGAATCCCAGTAATTGTGTTTATGACACAGTCGTAACTTCATGTGATAACCAGCTCTAATTTTAAGACACTATAATACTCTTACTTAAAAACAACTCTTCTTCAGTATACTTTGCTTTATTTCCCAAACGTTTCATCAGGGTGGAATCTGAGGTTGTTTTTAGTTTCATTTGTATATAGTTCATCAGGTACTCATGTTTGACTTTACAAAAGAAACATAAATGACTACAAACAGAAGATATACGTAACATACGTACAAACTAATAAATTACTCTAGGCTGAACTCCTCCATAGATGCAGGCCGTGTGATGCTGTGAAAAGCTTAGGAAAAAAGCTACAACGATACTTTTTTTTTTTACTTTTCCACAAAATGCAGTATTTTACTCCACAATTGATAAAAAAAAACATTGCATCTTAATTTTAAGTACAAAATCTGGCTGAATCTATACTATTTCAACATCTTTAAAAACACAGTATACTCAAATCTCTTCCATCGCTCAGCAGTTATGGATGGCTCTCAATCATTTCTCAATAAACCTAATGTTGACCTCAACATGCTGTATCTTCCCTTTAACTGAAATTAATTTTCTTAAAAAGTCATATTTTTTAAGACCAAATGTAATCCAGTAAACTCTAAATGGCTTCAAAGGATACAGTACGTTCACACTGCAGGCACCAGTGGCCCACTTTGGATTGTTTTGCTCATATGTGACTCTGTTATGTGATATGATGTGACTATATGTGAATCTTTTCAGTACTGGGCCCAGTGTGGTCCACATATGATTTTTTGCATTGTGTAAACATTGCCAAATATATAACTCCTTAGTTAACCTTTTCAGGGTTAAAGTACCTATTTATAAATCCAAAATGCCTCTTGAAAATTCACATGACTAATTGCTTAACTTCATATAAAGAAACTACTCTAATGAAGGCATGATAGCCCAAAAAATGAAACTGTTTTACGACTCATATAAGTTTGATGAATAACTTTGTATTGTGACAGATTGTGACACAAACAGACATAGCAGAGAATTTTAAAATCCAGAATTAATTTGTTATAAAGAAGAATTCATTTTGTATACTTTCGTCCTCGCCATGACAAGAACAAGAGATGGTTGGGTTTACGAGTGGATTTGTCCCCACTAAGCGGTGTCTCATGTACTTATGTAGTGGGCTGCAGAAGGACCGACTGTTGACGGTTGACGGTTGACGGTTGAAGCAGCCTCGGCTCACGTTTCAAAGGCCTCTACTCTTGACTGATTTATATTCTTCCCTTAAGCCACCACATACACTCATCGGCCTCTGTTTCATGTTGGACTTCTCCGGGGATTATGCAGCATTATATACAGTACATAGCCCATAAAACATATGAAGGGCTTGAGACGGCCAATTACAGTGCAGTGACTCATGATTTGTCATGTGGTTGTAAAGTGTGAGTGCTCAGCAATACCTGGAAAGAAAATCTCAAAAACCAACACATTTTTTCTTTAATCCTGCAGGTTTTTCCACCCTCTCACTGGCAGACCAGATGAGTCTTCTGCAGAGTGCCTGGATGGAGATCCTGGTGCTGAGCATCGTGTTTCGCTCTCTGCCCTGCGAGGACGAGATTGTGTACGCAGAGGACTACGTGATAGACGAGGAGCAGGCGAGGATCTCAGGCCTGTTGGACCTGCACGTTGCCATCCTGCCGCTGGTGCGACGTTACAAGAAGCTGCGCATGGAGAAGGAAGAGTTTGTCACGCTCAAAGCCATCGCCCTCGCCAACTCAGGTACGGATAACCTCACTCCCACTGCAGTGCAGTTGTTCATACACACAGAACTTTTTTGATAGATATTATATATATTAAATTCTAGTTGATATAACAATTTATTTTTTTTGGAGCAAATGTGGGAAGATATCAAGAATACTTCCATTTGAATGAGTCTTGGTTTATTCACTCTGTGTAAACATTATATAGCATCAATATATGAGCTTCTTTTGGTGGAAATTAAAAGAAACATACTTGAAAATATGCCAGAACGTTAACTATAAAACAAAGAGTGTGTGCTTTAGATAACTTCTGGTTAAAGCACTTGACATAACAGAAATTATATATTTAAAGGTAGCATCAAGATCATTTAAATTGCAGTAATTTGGCCAAATATCAAAAAATCTTTTATTTTGCTCTACAAACCCGAAGGTGCCATGAGCTCGGTAGGAAGGTACATCTCTATGTTAAATCCTAAATAAATCTAGATAGTTGGCATTTAATTAAAGCAAACAAAGAAATAAACCAAAAAAAAATGTCAAGTGGTTGTCTGTATCTGGTGAGCCGATCACTTCCACAATGAAGGATACCTGATAACAGGGGACAAAAAGGTCAGAGGCACGGTTGTTTAATTTAACACTCTCACAATGTGTGTGTGCGTGTGAGTATCTATATTTTAATTTGTGTGCACATACGTGTGTGCGTGTGTGTGTGTGTGTGTGTGTGAGACTGTCACATTGCGCTCTCATTCTCTCCATCTCCATAACAGTAGCTGCCAGCGTGCCACAGCCGAGGGAGATATATTTAGCATTTCATTAGGAAAACAGGGGCTGTCAATAAAATGTGTTAAGTGGAGTGGAATGAGCGTTGGGGAGCGACGGGCCTCGTTTGTTCCAATGTGAAGATGCTGCGCCCGTATCGACAGTTTGCTTTTCATGAGGCCGGGCCTGTCCCCCACTAATCAATGCCTGTTAGGAGTCTTTTCTCCTGCCTGACTGAAAAATGAAAAATGCTGAGCCCAGAGCTTTAGTCTTCTGATGACAAACTCTCCATGGGAGAGTGGAGAGAGGGGAGGATAAATGGGAGAGGAGGGCTGGAGGGGAGGAGTGGGTGATGGAAAGACAGGGGATGTATAAAGGTAAGGGAGAAGTGTGAGAGAGGATGGCAGGGGTTGAGAGGGGGGCTCAGGGAGGGCGAGAGGGCAGCCTCGGCTCGTTTGAACACAGTCTCAGAGAGCTTCGGCTCCAGGGGTCCTGTGGGTGTGACAGCTGTGGAAATTCATGGCCATTGATTTTGTAATTAGCGGAGTATCGACGGGATTGACGCCAGGCTGCTGACGGATTACATGGAAATTGTTTCTTCAAAGTTAGTTTTGCATTCCGCCCATAACCTCCTTCAACACACACACACACACACACACAGACACTCACATGAAAACGCTCCCTTTGCGTTTCCACACACTGACACACATTTGAAAACATATTCTTTCTTTCCCTCTCCCCTCCTCTCTCCGCTTCACACACACACATGCTCACACAGCCAAACGAGGATCAGATCAGCATTAACATGAAGGTTTCAAATGAAGAGTGCTGGAACACATGTGCGGTCCACATAGCCTAGTTAATTTCCCAAGATAGAAACGCAATTTACACAGAAGGCGACTGGTAAAGGAGACTTAATCAGTCAGTTAGGAACATAATTAGCCTTGTACTTTCCTTTTTTCTGCCTCATTTACATGTTTGTACACGGTCTTACTTCACTCCACAACTTTCATGACACATAGCAGAGCTGATCTAATTCACTCACTTCAATCAGCAACCACGTTTGGTTTAGCTTTAGTAATACAGTGTGTTTTAGGATGAGACGAGTCCATCTTATTCCGTTAGATATACCAAGATGAATGGTTTCGATTCAATTATGATACTGAATTGAATTCACATTTTGTTGTGTACAATTTTATCTATCGGTTAATGAATTGTGGATATGATACATCCACAGATGAGACCTGACACTGCGAGTCTGTGCAGAGAAATTGGCTGAAAGCAAACCGCTGCTTGTCCATTAAAACACTCTGTCAGCTCGTTCTTTGGAGGACAAGCCTGTTTTGTTTTTTTCCCCGACTTGTAGACTTACACATAGAGAGCAGTTTTTAATAAGTCTCAACTGGTTTTATTTTAGTGCCTATACATAAGGGGGCCAACTGCTCTTTCTTATGGAAATGAAGGCCATCTGCCGCCATCATTCAGCTGAACGATATCCTAGTAATGCAGCCATCTGAATTCATTAGCAGGGGGGATGTATGTGGTCGCATGATACCAAAGAAATGAATCTTTTTCCTGTCCCACCATATATTTATACAGACCTACAGTTCCTCTCCCTCTCTCTCCCTAGAGTCCTGGCCATGCATAGGCATTTATTTAAGGAGCGTCATTAACCACTAACAAGAGAAACCCTCTCTCCAAAATGCATGTTTGCAAAGACAGGCTGCGGAATTTAAAGCCGCAAAACACCAAGTTCTTGTCGCAGCTGTATATCTTTTGTCATCCTGCAGATTAATAGAAAATGTTTGCTTTTCATTTTAATGCAAATATAAATGATCTTTTCTTTTGTCCCTCCATCCTTCCCCACCACCCTTCTCGCTCCAGACTCCATGCACATAGAGAATATTGAGGCCGTCCAAAGGCTCCAGGATTCCCTCCACGAGGCTCTGCAGGACTTTGAGGGCTCCCAGCATCCAGAGGACCCTCGGCGAGCAGGCAAGCTGCTAATGACCCTGCCTCTGCTCCGTCAGACCGCCACCAAAGCTGTTCAGCACTTCTACAGCATCAAAATGCAGGGCAAAGTCCCCATGCACAAACTATTCCTCGAGATGTTGGAGGCCAAGGCTTGACACCCGGGCCAGATGTTTGACAGACAGCTGCATCACCCAATGGGAGGCGAGGGACAGCCCATAAAAAATGAAGGCGGCGTGCCAATTGAAAGGAAGAAGCTTGGACTACTGAGTCATTTTAACACTTTTAAATGGTAATTAATGTAAAAGAGAAAGGGACTTGAGATGGTTTTAAATAGGGTGAATATCAACCTGATTGACATGGGATCATGATGATGTATATAAAGATGTTGTGTACAGAAATCAGGCAACTGAGGTCTTGTTATAACCAGAGACCCATTGCTCTATATCACCTGAAGCTTCTGTGAATTTCTTTCTTATCTTATTTTCATCTCAAAATGGAAGTGTGTCAATATAAATGTCCTAAAGAACTGTACGGCTACGTAGCCACATTATGTGTTTTTGTTTCTTTTCTTTAATATTTTCTAATCTGAGTTGTTAAAGCAATAGTCTCTAACTGGTCTACATATAATATGTGTACTGTATATTGTGTGAAATTGCACTGGGCGGGGGCGGGGGGGGAGAATTGTTAGACATATTCTTATATTCGTCATCAAAGAAAGCGATACCCTTCATGGGTATGTAAGATTCTCAATTTCCTCGTAATATATTTACCTCGTAGTAGCTTCATCGACTCAGCGGTTTTAGTCAACATGGTGCTTACAGAAGGACAATGGTTGGCCAGTGATCAAGTTCACAAAGAGTTTGCACTAAGCATCTATGAAAAACGCGGCAATAATGGGTATTGTGCTAGCGAGCTCTGTCTGGTAGCATCTCAGTCAGTGGTTTTTTGCTTATAGTTACTAAATCCCCTCCTCACTTCTCTCTGTGTTCAGTGTCATACACAAATTTTGGCAACTAAGCATACTGTGAAAAATACACATGATAAGCTATATTCTGTGCTGAGAATTTTTATCGTAAACTGTACGGCTTGTTTAAAAAAAGGTTTATTCTATTTAAATCTAGGTAAAGGACACAATAACAGCAGGATCTATACAGTTTAATGCAATCTAATCTGCTCTTTAATGCAACCTGATAGCCCTGCAATAAATACTACCTAATGTTCAGTTTGTTTCAGATTTGTGCTGATTCAACTCTCTGGTCATTTTTGAGTCTATAGTTTGTGATGGTGCTGTATTAGATTGCATTATGTTGTATAGGTTTTGCTTTTTTCTTGTGTTTAGGTTGTATTCTCAAACAACAAGTGTCACTATATTTATAGCATTAGTCCCACAGTTAATCCTTCGTTTTTTGGTCATATGTGATACCAAAGTCTGCATGCTAGTCTCACACATTTAAACACAGGTTAAATATTGAGGCTCTGAGAGAGGAATCTCTGATATGTTTACTCTGCTGTCCCTGATCCCTGAGGGACAGCAGATCATCAAGGGACATCAAGATAAACATAGAAAGAAAAATACATTCTGATTTCCTCTTTCAAAAGTGAGACAATAAAAGCCTCATGTCTTCATGTGTGGCTGTGGCAATATTGGGCATCATTTCACTCCTTTTAGTACAATTGCCACATTTGAAACAACTTTTCCAAACTATGTCAGCAAGGCCAAACCTCATCTGTACCTAATAAGGTGACCACTGATAGTACATTAACAGCCAATAGAGATGTTTTTACATCTAAGTACATAAAACTGCCACAGCTGAAACTTGATCCTTTGTGATGTGAGTTAAAAATAATAGTTGTGTTTTTTTAACTGAAGGTTTTAAGCCCCCTCTTGGCAGCATTTTAAAACAGTTTGGATGTAACACTATCACAGATTACTAGAAGTTTAAATATTTATGTGCAAAAATATAATGACACTTGTGTTTCTGAGGATAATTTGAATTACCCTCTGAATTGAAACTTAACAATAATAACAGATGTCTCACTGATGTTCTGTTTTTTAGACAAAGGTTTTTGCTTGTCTTTAATGAAGGTGCTAACCATTCATACTGGCACTGTATGTACATTTCTACAAACTCACTGAGGTGCACAAACTTAAGTTAATAAATCTGTATATTCCAGAAATGATAGCAGACTTTTATAGCGTATTATCTATCAATTGTAAACCAGTTGCCAAATTATTCAAAGAAAGCAATCAGAATAATGTGATACAGTTATCAACATGTTATAATAAGATCAAAATAATACAATAATAGATTAATCAGCTGCTCTTAGGGCTTTAGTGAGACAGATATTGTCCCTTATGAACACTTTAAAGCAGCATTGTCTTTAAAGTGTTAAGTGCCATTAGCTTCTGCCCAAACAAGAAGAAAACATAAAGCCAAGTGACCAGTAACTACAGACATAGGCCAGTTTCATTCACCCCACAGGAACAGACGCTATGGATTCACTGCAATGTAATGCATAGATAATTATAACCCAATACAGTAGAGAATACAACTCCCATGATGCAATTCCCTAAATGTGTTATGTGTAACCAGCTAAGTTGAAGTGAGGGATGTATTGCCTCTGTACAGTAGTAAACCAAAGCGTAGAGTCTTCAAATACTTTAAAGTGAAACACTGATAAAATTGCATTTTGAGCCAGCCAGTGACGTTTTTTCCAGTATATTATTAATGCTAGTTCAGCCATTCGTTTTTGAGCATCCTCTTTACGATGGTGGTGATAACAGGATGCAAACCTTTTTATCTTTTTTGTTCAGTCAATACATGCATTGATTAAACATCAGTCTCTTTGTCGATATGTGAAGTCTCACTCTGTAGCCTAACTAAGAGATGGAACTACCATAAAAAAAGTGATGTCTTTCATATTTTGATGGTTAAAGGAGAGCGTTTCACTTGACCAAACAAGCTGACCCCCTCTCCTCTGACCAGAGTTCCCTCACATACCTCCTCTGTCCACTTTGAAGACTGAGCGATAGCAGATAATTGTTTCCTAACTTTCCCTTCTTCTCAAATTAATATAAGAAAATAAAAGAAAAATGCTTAATTTATTTTCAGAGTTCTAAAATGGTTCTACTGCATCCAATTAATTCTAATTGTCTCCTAAGCTGAAATTCTCAATAGAAATGGAGCAATTAAATTTCTGCTTTGGCTCTACCTTGGGGACGAGAGACATTTTATTTCGGTTGACAGTGGGGAGGGTTTGTCTAAACCTTTACAAAGGCGATTTCATGGGTGTCTGTAATAGTTTCATAACAGAGCGATCACTGGGCTATGCAAGGCAAATATGGCCACCTATGTTCCTTGTTTTGTGGAGCATCAGACTGACATTTAGTTGTGCTTTGTTTACAATGTGGACAAACTGTACAGTGCTGTACACTGCAAATGTATTGTGCATATTTCACCGTACTATACTGTAGCTGCTGTGCATTGATATAACTATGATCATTTGTTTAATTTCTCATGATGTATTAGCAACCCACCCGAATAGCTGTATAATATAAATCACTGTATTGAGTCAAGTGAGAATATGTCCTTATATTTGGTCCAAGGTGGGATATTCTCTTATTTTCTTTTCTGTGTCTTTGTGTCTCTCAATGTTCATCGATTTTGGTTATCAGCACAGCAGGACGTATAGCGAGTGAAGTAGTCTAGACCCTATACCTCAATTCCATATTTTGAAAATTACACTGGGTTTGGAAACGGGCCATGGCTTCCTCCTGGGAATCAGTGGCACAGAAATAAAGTGACATCACTGACTGGGTATTAAAAAAAATGTAGATGAACCTACTGCAATTGGGGAGCACATTCCTCGGAGGAGAAAGCTGCTTATTCGCTGTTCCATTTGCGGACTTATCTTATCTCCGTGCACTCTGAGATGACAAGATTTACATAAAACATGGAGGAACCTCCCTGGCCGTTCTAGTCCGCGGTGTATAAAGGACCCTGCTAGGTGTATGTACCGTAGACATGTGATTACCCAAGAGGTTTACTCCCCTCAAAAGCAATATGTTAGCAATTGTGATATATGAATCAAGTTAAAAGGGAGCTTTGGTTCGTTTTAATTATAAACTTACCCTATGCTCGGAAAAAGGAGAGGGTGACTATGCACACACACGTTCACAGTCCTGGTGAGGCAAAGGGAAAAAATGTGAAAATGTTTGAACTGAGAAGCGAAAAAGCCAACCACAGCTGACTTTCACTGGACTGTTATTGTGTGGCATTTTCTTGTGTTTTGTTTGTTGTGTTCATGCCTAATGTACCCATCTGTAAATATATGCTTTTTTTTGGAGTGAGTCAGATCTAACAGTGCACTGAATGTACAGTGACAATAAAATCACATGGTTTATGTAATCACTGCAAATGATTTCTTTAAATATCTTCAAGTCAATGAACCCGGGGAGACTACGAAAACAGTTTGCACCATATCTACTGACAAGGTTAACTTAGTGTATCACCATTTTTTGCCCAGGATTTATGGATACCAAAAAGTACCAACACACTGTTGTCATGAAAGTAACAATGTGTCGACCACAGTGGTCTTCGTCAGAGCCTAACCCCCCCCCCCCACCCACCCCAGGCCTGAGGAAGACCATTTGTGATCATGTCACTGCAGAATAAAGAAAGAAAGCAGTTTTTGTGCAGATTGTCAGATTGCCTCTTGACGGTTGTTGCTCTACTGATACCTTCATTAATACTGCATCTTTGGGTTTATTTTGAGCACTAGCTTGATAAACTCTTAAATATGTTACAGAATAAGACTGCTGGTTTTATCTTTTAACAAGTTGATAAAAATTGCAAGGTACAGTCGCACTACAATGATGATACTGAAACTATACAGTTCCGTGTAGGTTCAATCAATATATATTTTATTTGCATGTTCCCCTAACATATTTAAAATATGCACAATATGCCATACATCAACAACTATATGTTACAGTGAACAATCAAAATTAGTTTTCCAGTAGATAATAATATAAAATAATATAATAATAATAGTAAAAATAATAATAATAGTAATTTCATTACAGGCATCTATATCCAGTGTTACAGCACAGCCTGATCTCAGGATAAGAGACGTACAGTCACACAGCGCCTAGCATGACCAGTCATGTATGTGTGTGTGTGTGTGTCTATGTGTGCACTTGTGTACATGTAGCAAGACGGTGCCTTGGGGGTGTAACGGCATCCTCCTGCCCTGACTGTCAGTTGGTTAGCTGTCTACACAATGTCCCGTTTGACCTTGTGTTGGCTACAACACTGGCTGAATGCACATCTGACACACTCTCTTCCTTTGTGGTGCAATCCTGTGGAAGTCATTTCATTTACTGGGCTTTCAACTTCAGCCAATATGGGGGCTGGGGGAGTAAGTCTGTGTTTAATCAGCCTGCCACAAACCATTCCCCTAAACAAAATCAACTATGATGTCCAGCGAAAAGATCTCTCAACAGAAGATTGAATTAAACATATAAATGGGCTTGTCACTTTTTCATTTTTTATTTATTCGCTTGGCACGGCTACGCCCGCCACTCCGTATTATTGCTGGAAATAACAGTATTAACTTGTGGATTGTTGTGCACAGTATATCAGCATTACCAGTATGTTAATATAGTGACTGTTGAGGTGTTATCCATTTACACTTACAGGATAACTGACACATTAAGAAAAAACCTGTAAGGAAAGTAAAAGAAGCTCAAAAACAGAAGAAAACACATAATCACCTGTCTCTTAAACTTCCTATCACTGCAGCTCTTCTCTCGTAGGATAGTAGCCTTTTTCTCTGTTGTCAGTCTTGTAGGAGAGAATTAGGGCATGGCCCACTGTCCTCAGAGTGACTTTCCATCGTGTAGACCATGTTTTATTCTCCTTAAATCGCCACCAGTCGTCCAGCTTGTCTGTGCTTAAGAAGGGGCATTGACACTGTCACACTGCGGCCTGTTAATCAGGCAACCTTGTTGCCTACCTCTTTGAGAAAATCTATGATCACACTGTTAGTGCAACCTTGTACTGTCACCACCGGCTTTAGCTCCACTACGGTACGCTCACACTCCTTCCTTTGACTCATGTGAGGATTATTCAGCGGCTGAGGTGAGAGTCCACTGAGAATAGGCTGTAAAGTGTCAGTCATGGTTACCCAGAGTGGTGTTGTCTTAGACAATGTAACTAGGTGAAAGTGAGTGAAGGAGATAGGAAACCATCAATATGCTCCCTGTGTAAATTGAAGAAGGTCATGATTTATGGCTCCCGGCTACAGCATACATACATGCTGAATCTACTCTTTTTTTTCCCTCTGTCGCCTGGCTCAAGGACAGGTAAGGGTGCCTTTCTCCTCAGCTCATCCCCACCACCATGCAGTCTGTGGCACTTTGTGATGGACAGCCCTTAGAAAGGCCGGTGCTTTTTCAAAATGAATTGAGCGCCATCTATAGGTAGCCACAGTGAGTGAGTGGCGGAGCCTCTGGTGTACAGAGTGCAGGGAGGAAACAAACCATCAGATATGCATTAAAATGGTGCACTCTACTACCTGTGATACTCCTCATCCACCTGCCTCTTTACATGTTTCATCACCTCATCAGTCACGTCCGTCTTTCAGTCTCCTTTTACTTGGGGACTCAGACAGAGAGGGGGCAGCTGTGGGTTTTCTAAGGCCTCGCAACAGCTGCAAACCCCGCATGGCATTGCATCTGTTCAAGTCTTGCAGCATTATGGCCTGTATTTCAACTAAAGCAAGTTACATTACAGTTCATAGTGGGGTTCTCTCTGGTCTTACCCTATTAACCAGTGAGCAGATGGAAATTATATGGGAGGTTGTTAGGCCTGAAAATGGACTTGCAAGCATCTTGCTGTCTCAAGTATGCTGTTTAAAATGGGACAATTCAAATAAGGCCACATGAGAGAAATCAGGACTGGTCTGTAAATTCATTTGAAGTGGCACATTGAATACCATGAAGTCTTCTCTGAATCTTAAAGTTTATTATTTTGGATATATTTGGATGATTTATTATGTCTGGGTGCCTCTGACGTTGTTACTTTGCCTTTGGAGGGAGCCAGACGTAACAAATGGAGCACTCATTAGCATTTGACCTCCACATTATGCTTTGTTTACCTGCCTCTCCTCACCTCTATATCTCCTCAGACAAAATCAGGGCTTGCACAGAAGGCTCCGACTGTGACACAGTTTTGTTACTGGGCGGTAAAGGTAAGTATCACATTTGCATTGCAAGATTTCTCAAACAACTTGAGCGTGCAGAAACGGAGAAAAAGGAGGGGGAAAAAAGATGCTCTGCTCCTCGGGGACATAGCCACTCCCAGACGCTGTCGTCTAGGCTCTGGAGTCCTGACAGCTGCTTAAATCCCCAGAGATGATAGAAAGAAGTATGAACAAAAGTTACAGTAAAGAGTCACAGGCTGTTGTGTGAAGGGAGGAGACTATTGTGTTTGGATTGGGAGTTCACCACTAACTGCTTATGGCCAGAAATGAATGCCTGATACAACATGGAGGTGTGTGAATGAACAGTTTAGTCTTGTTTTTCTTCATCTATGACAGTGATCACTCAGTTGCAAAGCCATTAAAAAGCACATGGTTCAGAAATATAGTTTTTAACTGCATTTTAGTGTAAATATTCTGGTTCAACTTGTCATGTTCATTCATACAGTGCAGCTACACCAGAAAATGGTATATATGACACAAGTATTATCAAATCAAATGAATTTGAAAAATGAATTAAATGTAGCTGAAAAACTTAACTGAACTAAAACAGAAAAAAATAAATTAATAATAATAATAAAATAATTCCAATTGCAATTATATGCTCTGTGCAATATGCAATATTAACATTTCCACGTTTCATGGGCAAGCAGGTCATGCACACAGTGTGTGTAAAGAGAATCATGAGCAACAAGTAATGGCAAACTGGCAAACATCCACAACCCCCCCGCACCCACCCACACACACACACACACACACACACACACACACACACACACACACACACACGCATTATATTACCAGACCGCGGGGTGTGGCAGGTAGCTGTGTGTGCTGTAGTTAATTGCGCAACGAGAAACTGTTCTCTAATTTATTTCTTGCCTGTCCATACAAGAGTGATCATGAAACCCCATTCATTTCACAGAACACAATTTTCATATTTAATGAGCATGACTCCAATACAATTACAGTAATTAGTCAAATCTCACTCACGGCCAATGGAGCTCGCCACCATTATTAGTGGATCTTATTAATGATGTTGCACATGTGGTGCTCATAGGGTAATTGAGGGCATGTGTGGGTATGGGAACAGGGGTACTGGGGATTGGAAAGCAGTGGTGGTGTCAGTCTGTTTTCTGTCTCTACTGGGCCGTATGTTAAATGGAGGTCTGCTTGATATTAACTCTGAGATGTTTAAACACGGTGGCAGGCACTGCTATTGATTTGACGACATGGCTGACCGTAGTTGGAATTGCCTTCATATAGGATAACTTGAATAACAACATATCTACATAAATTCCATTCAATCACTGACTTTGGAAAGTCACATGTGTTTGTTGTTCCATCAGCTGACCTAAAAGTTTGTATTTTACAAGCTGCTTTAAATAATTGCATATCGGTTCACAGCATCACCGTGCTGTGCCCCGGACCCAGGAGGATCACAACAAAAAAGACAAAGAGAAAAAAAGAAGCCCATTTACTGTGAGTGATGATACCGCAGTGTCTGACATTTTGGAGGTTTGTAGAGCTTCTCTTTCCAGACTGATCCTTATTAAAACTATACAGCTGTGTTGTATCTGCAACAAGAGCATGCAGCAGCTAGTGACACACCTCCCCACAATATGGAGGACATAATTGTTGCAGATTCTTCTTTGTGTTAGTATGTGTAGCTGTGATGAGAAGATTTTCTAATGTGGACTTAAATCTGGGATATTACATTCAGAATTTGATACATGTAAAACTTTTACATTTTGCTAATGTGTTTTAAGAAGATAAAACCAGCACCAGATCAACACACAGTCCTTTTTATACACACAGTGGTGAAACCTCTGTCTTATGTAGCTTCATGTGCTTTGAACCAGTTAGTGTCAGGGTTGATGTTTATAAAGAAGCAATAATTTTAATCAAAGAAAAAGTGACTTAATGGCCTCTTATCCAATTAAGGGCAGTGTCACCGCTATGTTAATGAGTGTGACGCCGCAACAGAAAAACCTCTATTAACACAACATAATTAGCGGAACATTGTGGAATTAGACAGCAGCAATGACAGTGCTTTGGTGTTTTTATAATTAAACACGGGGAAAAGACAACAATTAAGCCAGATCTTAAAACCCCAGTCTCATTCAAGCCAGAGAGGACATGTATT